TCAGTTGGAACCGCATAAAAACATTTAACTCATAAATTCTATGGCATCCATAGACGTCCAGAAAAATTTAGCCCTGTCTTGTCTAGATATAGGTACTATATTCCGAGCTATATTACCATATAATTACAATACGATTGTCAAGTTTTTTATGGTTAAAATCGCACTGTAATAAAGTCGTAAAATATCTAAAGATTTATAATTATAATCAGGATAATCGCTTAATTTATCTCGAATCATGTTTAAAGTAGGAACTTTATTTTCTTTATACGTATTATTATAAATTGTGCGCCGCATTACATCTGGTAAAATCGTCAATTTTCTTTAGTTTTGTATTTTTCCGTTTCCCCTTTGTACCGTGATTAATCCTTCTTTAATTACGTGATAAATTGGCCTTTTTTGGATATCTTAGTTAATTCGTTAATCCGTTTCCTAACTTTTTTATAACATTGTCCAGTATTTTCAATTTTCAAACATTCATATATATTTAACATAATATGTTGACTTTTTTACGTGTAAATCTTTGTTTTTAAACTCTGAGTTTGTTTCGATACTTTCGACAAAGACCGGTTCCACTATTTGGGGTGATTTTCCCGAGTTATTTCGTTATCCTCCGCTTCAAAGAGTCTCCAGAGAGCCATATAACATTTATTTTAATAACTATTACCCTTTACTGGTTACGATATGAACAAATAATATTAGCAACTAATAAATAACAATATGTATTATACCAACAACATGCCCCGCCAAGCAATGCTCTGCACGGCACTGGCAAAGCGGCAAAGCTAAGTGAACCTGTGTACCATACAAAAAAATTATTTACGACCTAGTGGACCAACACAGGTTTGCTTTGATGACCAGCGCGCCGCCGTCAATTCTACACCAGGCGGACTAGTTTACCAATACCGGACTCGCCGAATTGCTATTCTAGTATAAATTACGAGACACATCATGGTCAAAGCATAAGAAGAAATTTCAGAAGAAGTGCATACGGTCCTGTGCTTTAAGATTTACAGGTTCCAATTGACATCGTAACAACTATAACAATTTTAATTGCTACACTGCTTGACACATATGTTTTTAGTATATTAGTAGGCGTAAAATAAAAAATTTGCAGGTTTCGTACCTAACCGGAACGACGGAGCTATGAGTACTATTACGTTTTTTTTGTTCACAAAAACTATACCGTACGTTTATTTGCCTTAATTTTTAGCCATAGAACAAATCCTGGAATTTTCTGCACGTACTTAGGAAACACCCTGAAACTGAATAAGAAAGTTTAAATGCTTGGTAATGTAAAGTACAAAACAAAATATACAACATATCTTAATCGCTGGATGGAGTTTGTTTAACAAACAAAAACAATCGGCTCTTATATTCGCGTTCGTTGTAAGAAGAGTTCGTTGTTCGGCCCTATTTTCGGTCAATAAGGCACGGATCGGTTGACTCTTGCGACACTCGGCCCTTTAACTGGCCCGGCACTACTAATACTGCCTAAATGACTAGATTCACACTCGCCTCGGCTCAGTGCTCGGGCCTATTGCACTGGCCCATTCCTACCAATAGATGCTCTCACACGCGCTTCAATATAAAACAAATTCTTCTAAATAATCATATCGTAGCGTAAAAGTCCCTTTATAGGGATTCCGAAATTCTTTGGTCTCTTCAAAAATTCTCTAGCGCGGCCCAAAATTGTCAACTCTTCGAATCAAGTTCCTTGAAAAATTAAATTCCGGCAAAATCATGGACGGTTGGGATTTGTATTCGCTATTCGTACGTCATTTAATCTACAGTTAAACAAAAAATTAATATCAAAGAGGCAGGTACAGCTTAAAGTTTAGATAGAAACAAATTGGAGAGTAAAAGGAGTTGGTGATATTTGGCGACAATTTTTTGGACATATAAAATATTTTCTGTATACTTAATACTCGTACAACAAAAAAGTAACTATATACAAGGTGGACCACAAATATATATCGCAAAGCATACTACGATAATGACCATAGAAAAACAAAAATTGTCTTACTAAAATTTTGATCAGTTGGAACTTTGCAATTTTTCAAAATTCCTACGCCATTTGGACACGAGTTCTTGAAACTTACAAGTGTAGCGCAGGACATAATTTAATGGTATTACCGAAAAAAGGAAATGATCAGTGTTGTAGACATTGAGGCAGCGGTCATTTTTATAAATATTCTTTTTTCAAATCATCTATAAAAATAGATTTATATTTATAACAAATATGAAGTAATTAAATCACTGTATTCCCTCGAAAAAGCTAGCCAATTTTCGTCGCGATTTCCCTTAATTATACGTTTTAATTCTCATTTTTTGCAAAAAATGAAGAAAATAAGAGGATCAAAGATTTTCATCACATGACTTGACATGAAGGGTCATTAAAAATGAAAAAACTGCGGGGTGCTATTAAATTAGAGGGTTGAAATTGAAGATAGGGGTGAAAATGCACTTTTGCAGTTTTTTAAATATAGCACGAAAACGAACCAAAATTTCGGTATAGTTCATATGAAAAATTTTGTAGAGAATTGAATTTCCCATCGAAATGGCTTATTTAAAAAATTTTAAAGGAAAATTTTATGCAAACAATCGTTAACAAACAATATTAAAAAAAGCAACGATTTTTTGCATAAAATTTTCCCTTAAAAATTTTTTTATAAGCCATTTCGTTAGGAAATTCAATTCTCTAAATAATTTTTTCTATGAACTATACCGAAATTTTGCTTCGCTTTCGAGCTACAATTATAAAAGTGAAAGGGATGCATTTTCACCCCTATCTCCAATTTCCACCCTCTAATTTAATAGCACTCCGCGTTTTTTAAATCTAAAATGACCCTATGAAAGATTCATGCAATAATATTGTTGAACGTCATAGTTCATTTTAACCTAATAGCCTATGAGCAAGTAAGATTCTTGGTTATCTGCAATGAGACAAGAAATCATAGTATTTTTCAAATTTACGCTACTGACTTTTACAATTTTACTCCACTTGCAAAATTAATTTGGAAAACATTGAATACGTCGGCTCCTGGAAGCTCGCCCCTAAATCTGTAAAGTGTTTACAGCGGTGGTCATGGTTACCGTAGTGCAACAGTGAAACACGGAGTGGGCGTAGCGCATATTTACTATGCAGTTTGGGCCCTGTTCAGTCTGCTTGTAACCAAATAATGACTATTCACCGCTTTCTTCCCTTATTAAACGTAATTAGTCTACGTTTGGAGTAAAATTTTGTTATCTACGTATTGTTCCTTGTGTGTTTTTTAAAAGACTGTAAATGTTAAATTAGATTGTAAAGACAGACTAACAGCACTTGCAATGCTATCTATTGAAAAATCAATAGTGCAAGAAACACCAAACTTTAATGGAAAGATAATTGAAAAGTCATTTCGGACAAAAGCAGTAGAATAGACTTTCACTATAAAAAATATTGTTTAAAATTATTAAGAAATTACAAATTTATTTTAAAACCTTACAGAGCAGCACTTTCATAAACAGGCCCGACTGACCAAAATTTCATAAAAAAAATGTCTATGTTTACTATAGTATGCTTTGTGACATACGGACCATCCTGAATATTGTATTTAAATAACAAAGACCATCGTCTTCGTTCCGCGAAAGCAAGAAAAGACCGAAATATTTAGGAATCACGCTTACTAAAGCTAGACTTTCATCTTATCCTAATCGATAATAGCACAACTACGCTAATTAGGTATAGTTTTTCGTTAATGATGTGTGAAATCGTTCCTGTCCGTATATGACAATCGGATATCACCGTATAGTAAAAATATTACAATTCGACGATAATCTATAGCATGTTATTGTTACGATTACATGGAGGAATTGGTTTTATAGATTAATTAATAATAATGGACTCTAATATTCAACGCACTCATATTTTAAATGACATCGAGAACGTGTCTTTAACATCTAATATATAATTTTAAATATATATGCTTGCAAAAATACTGCCAAAAACTATGCTTCGTTGATTTTTTTATAATTTACTATACAATTGTTTCTCTAGGAGATTCAGATATAGGTATATAATAGATTCGAATGGTAAACCAGGGACCGCATATTTTAATCTTTTTTCTCCTGTCATTGTGACGGGACATTTTTAATCGCGACAATTTCATCTTTTGGAGCCGCTGTGAAGAAAGATTAAGTTATTTAGCCCTTAATGTAGATACAATATAACCAAAATAAATATAATTGACTAGAATTAGGACTAGGACGTCTGTGTTAAACGGGATTGGGACTAGAGACTGCGACTAGACTGCGGCGGTTATCGGTATAATATATATCATAATCTCACTTATATCCATTCTTAACCTAAATAATTCTAGAAGTATTTGCATAAGTTCGTTGTTTGTGAAACGTTGCCTTTGTTCGTAGAGAACGTTGAAAATGTCGCGAGTTTAATCAACTAAATTAGTCTAAGGTGCCGATTACATCTTTAAGTGGCTGACTTTTATTTACATCCCGTGTGGTGTTCTAAAGGTACAGCTTACGACTAACCCTAAATTAGTGGACGTGTTGCGATGTGTGTTATCTCTTTGGAAGGGATATTTACAAGGGGGCATCAGTTCGCGAAGAATAAATCATGACTAATCTAGGCGGCGTGGCCCGTTCAGAACGCTGCATGGACGTGCCCAGAAAACTAAACTACGAGAGAAAGACTAGAAAGCTGACTAGATAAAATCCGACCGAGCGACCAAAACAGTTCAATCTGCGCGAACCCGCGTTCCGCTTTTTTCAAAACAAAAGGAATTAACTACTTCTTTGTCGGCTAGAACACTCCATTCTCAGCAACCAGTTTATCCACCCCCAGTAAGTCGCACCTACTGCGGACCTGATACCCCTACATTACCCTAATTATCTACAAAAATATGACGAAGCTTTAAACTGGTTGCTTTGTTCCATTACCTCCTGCTTGTACTTCTCCCATTACGAGAAATTACCTAAGGTACAGTTTACACAGTTTTGGTTTAACCAGCGTAAACCCTAACCGCCAATGGCGTGGCCACCGTTATTTCAGGTATCAATTTGTCCTCCTCGCAGCCCAGAACTTGGCTCGGCTCCTCTTTAAGACACGCCGACTCCAAATGCTTGTTGAGGTAGGACTTCAACGCGAACGTCTTGTGGCATCTTGGACATTCAAAGTTCTTGTCCGCTGAGTGGGTCTGCATGTGGGCCCTGAGGTTCGACCTGTCCGCGAACGCCTTGCCGCAGTGTGCGCATCCGTAAGGTTTTTCGCCCGTGTGGGATCGAAGGTGGCCTTGCAGCAGCCAAGGTCTCGAGAACTGCTTCCCGCACACCCCACAGCGATGCGCGAGTTTATGAGTGAGGACGTGCATCGCCAGAGCGGGCATGCTGACGTAGGCTTTGCCGCACGTCATGCATTTTTTGGCAGCCTGGGAGTCCAGACTTCTGTGCGTCTGCTTGTGCCTGGACAGGTTGCTGGACGTCGCGTACTGCTTCCCGCATTCGCTGCAGGTGTACTTTGGCTTCTCGTTAACTATCGCCTTGGGCGTTAAGGTGGCGGTGGGATCGTCGGGATGGTGTCGCTTCTTCGATCGGCCGTCGCTTACGAAAAAGGCTTCGTACGTGTAGGCCACAGTTTTACATGAAGGTGTCATGGAGGGTGCCGTTGCTTTCAGAGGTTGGGGAATGGTCGCCTCCTGTTGACCTTGATGCGCCTCCACCTGGCGATGCTGCTCTTGTACTTGCGGAGTGGGGGGTTGCAGGAATACTGTCGTCGAAGCGCTTAAATCCAAGATGGCGTGCGCCGCGTGGAGATCTTCCTCGGCGGGTACACGGATAGTGTGGTGAAAGAAAGGCGGGGAGGGTTTGTCCTCTAGGGAATACGGCCGATAGATGTCCTTTTTCTTTGGAGGCAAGCTTAAAGCGGTTCCGGTACTTGTGTACGTCATTGCTAGGGATTTTTTTTGCTTTGGGGGGACAGGAGTTGGGGCGGTGTATTCTGCTCGAAGATCTTGCGTTTCCACAACGGTACGTAAAGTGGCGTAAGAAGGTTGACTGGGACTAGATACTTCTGCTTTAGAAACGAAGTTGGTGGAGTAACTTGAAGACGAGAGCTCGTGAAGATAGCCTGGAACAAAACGAGAATATATTTAGAACACCAATGCAGGTACAGATAGGTTTTGGATAAATAAGATTTTAATTATTTATGACTCAGTGTTTGTTCGATTGAGATTAATAATTTTCTCCCTCACACTCAGTATATATTTTAAAACGAAAATAGATAAAGCAATCCGTTTGTCTTTAGTTTTAACGAACAAAGTTATATGGTTCTTAACATCATTATAATACTTAGCACCTCTTTAAAGGACTGTAAGACGGATTAATATTTTAACTTCTTACGGACTCCTTAAAACTGCGCTCAAAACAAGAAAATGGGGCACAATAAAATCCATTTAGGAAGAAAATCATAGAAGTTGTTCTTGCATATTAATGGCGGCTAATTCAAAGCACTCAAGTTTCCTAGTTAAAATTGTCGCTCCATAACTGCAAACTAGACTGGAGCTTAAAGTTTGTCTTTATGGAGATTTGTTATGCTTTCCCTTTGCGAATTATGTCTATTATTTACAATGTTGCTGAGCGCAACAATAACTAAGTTTCCGTTTAAGGGGCCGCAGAATTGTGCAACAGTTGCTGTTAAATATTACATATATGGAGGTATTAAATATCAGAGGGACGTTTAAAGTCGTAAACAAGTTTAGGTTGAATGTTAGAGACATTCTTGCAGAGCAGCGCTGCCAAGACATGTATACAGATACAATGAGTATTACTGTATTATTCTATCCATATTATAATTTAGTAATTAAATTGTAAACTATGAATTGTACCTATTAGATACCACTATTGTACAAAATAAAAAATTATATGATAGATGAAGGAACGCAAAAAAAACCAGGTGCCTTTGTCCAAAGTTGCTTTTTCAGAAAAATATTAGCAAAGTCTCCAAATATGTTTGGCTATAGTAAATAAAAGCAAACATTCATTTAATTTATATACAATATTATTCACCAGTGGCGGAGGTACTGGGAGACACACCACTAAGAATCCCGGAATTTCGACGTCTCTGTGTGTTTTCAAAATTCTATAAGTTCATGTGAATCAAAGATCATTTTGAATGTAAAATGAGTAATTTTCGAACTACTATTTTTCTTTCTAGGATTCTACAGGGTTTTAGAAGTTTGACTGCCTTAATTTTAACAGACGATAGAATAAATTAAAATAAACACGAAAACCTTATATGACATGGGTCCTAAACTCAACCATTTGCGAGAAAAAACATAACTGCGTGCATTGAATACTATAAAATACAATGTTTATCACTTTTTTGAACTTCGATAACATTCATATCGAGCAATGCGACAACGGCGCGGCGGTTAACACGAGGTACTAAGCTGTCCACCAATACCCAATTCAGTTGGTATCTGGAATTCGACCGTGTCGGAGTGTTTTTCGCGTACCACTATTTTTTTTATGGGGACACATGAAGAGTCGACGTGAATCTTTGGGTAGGTACATACTTTAATTACATATTTGAGGGCCCTAGTATCAAAGGCGGCAATCTCCACTTTTTGACGAAATCGAGTTAAATACATGATATTTTTCGGTTTTTCGCGCTCTACCTGAATATATGGTTTGCGATTATCAAAAGCGGCTGTATCCCATTACAAAACTGCATTAAAACATCACCTGAGAATCAAATCCGGCAATCTCCATTACCCGCTTAGAATCAGAGTCGGCAATATCCGTTTTGGCCAATCAGATGGCTCACAGCGAACATATGACGTGACGTGACACGACATGCTGTTTCAGATAGTTAGGAATTTATTATTATTTAGTTCATTTTTTTTTATTTTTGATTATACGTTTTGTTGAATTCATTTTAATATTTTATTCTTTTGTCTGTAAGTCCATTCCAAAATACTTGGTATTTATTTTACAACTCATTTTAGTGCAACCTTTGGTAACAAATCTTGCAAAATCCAACTGTTGGTATCAAACACGGCATTCTCCATTTATTTTTGTACATTTTTTCAGAAAATATAAAAAATTTAGGTACATTAACCTTAAAATCTAATGTAGTTTAGCATTTTCTTTCATTGGAAACTATGCTTCCTTTGAATTAAGCAGTAATAAGAGTGTAGCAGTTTTTTGCGCTTTAACAAAAAGTGGAAATGGTGGAGATTGCCGCCTTTGATACTAGGGCTCTCATTTGTCAAATTCATAATTTTATTAAAAGTTCCTGTTTTAAGAGATTCATAATTAGAGACTAATAATTCATTCATAAATTCATAATTCATTAAGAGACTATAAGTTCAAAATAGACAAATGATTAAGAAATAATGCGGTGTCAACATTATCTATCAAAACGTTAATGGTGGCCTTTCTAGGCACGTTTCAGGAACCCAACGACAAATAGCTCGGAATCGCAAAATCTACAATAAATAATGAGGCAAGTGTTCCGCGTTTACGCGTTCCACTACAAAGCTGTAAAATTCTCTCAGATGACGGGCCCTCCCCCATGGCAGAAATTCCAGGCGGCCATCAGGCCGAATAGTCCTGTTCGTGCAACGCCTACTCCGCATCCTATGTGTGGCTCTCAACTGACGCCATAAAAACAAGTATTCCACCGTAAAAGTAACCTATTGTTGCTCTACGTAAGGATATTCATAGCGTGTACGTCGCATAACAGCTGTAGTAGTAAAACGGGGCACCGCCGCGTGGCCCCTTTTAATTAAATCGGATACATCACAACAGCTGGGTGGAAACGCCGTGGATGCCGGGCCCCATTAAAACAGCCCCATCATCGCCGAAACTCGATAAAAAGAAAATTAATATCCGGCGAGCCTATTTAGGTATTCACTGCATATATGATGTTTTGCGCATTAGCCCATCGGGCTGCTTTACATAAGAATGCCCCCGAGTTGTCTCTAAGTGCTGTCTCCTAACAAAGACATCAAATATTACACGACTTTTTATTGATCCGGCATTCGGTCGGGTATTATTTTATTTGCATAAACATGTCATTCAGATTCGGGGGAAAATGGCCGTCTCGACGAGATGTTAAGGCTAAAAATTTATTGCGAACTGTCTTCGTTCTCGTTGCGATGACAATGTAAGTGAATTTTCCTTCCTAATTTGCGACAGAAGTCAAATAATGAACACGTTAAATTTCTTTTATTTTCGCATCTCTTAAAATAAGCGATCGTCATGCTATTTTGCTTCCTAAAACAAGCAACAATCAAATAACACTGAAGTTTAAGTATCCTTAAAGCATTTAAATAATTACAAATGTTTTACGAATACATGAACGTTTTTTTACTTTAGTTGTAATAGTTTTTACTATTTCTATGTCTATTTCACTATTTGAGCAGATTGGGCACTAGAGTGCTGCTCTCTGTCTCGAGCGGTGTACAAATTAACAATGTTCTGAATTAAAAAATGTTTACAAATGCAACTATGTAGTTCAAATTGGGTTTGGTGGTATTAAAGGGCAACCAATCCGCCCTGGTTACTAAGCTTTGAGATACTAGAGTCGACGTTCGGTCACACTTCATGGTGGCTCAGTGAATTCTAAACATCCTAACATCTGTTTCATCCTGACGTGGAATCTGGTTTTTATTTGAGAAGAAGTAACTTTCCTGGCGTTTTCGCCGAAAAATTCTAAATTGGGGTTCCACCAGAATCATCGGTGGTCACTCTACAACAGCGTCTGGCTTTCTAGACATTATCTGCTGTAGGTTGGGGTGTTTGGAATATTTTGCGATTTGGTGGACAGTACTGGCAGTTAAATTCGAAACATAGGTAAAAGTTTTTCAATTTCTGCTCAGTGTCTTCTGCTTCACAGGAATAGTCAGCTACATGCCCTCGACCATCAATAACTACCATTGGCAACGATTTTCGCGAGTAGGGCCTATTTATTTTTATTAGTTTCTGCAATACTGCTATACCCAACTCACTTTCGTTTTATTTGAATGTAATATAACTTCTTATTTTGAACACCCTATATATATATAGGGTGTTAATGAACTTATGACGAATATATTGTGTTGAGTAAAATGTAATTTTAAAATCTGACATACGTCAAAATTGCAAGGAGCCACCTTGTGAGAACTGCTGATTTTCATAGAAGATGTTCGATGTATTCACCATTTGCTTGCACACAAGCTTCAGCGCGGCGTATCCAATTCGCTCAAACGCGTTGCAACATTGCCACGTCCTCTCGAATCGTATTATAAGCTTCGATAATACGATGTCGCAGTTGGCCGATGTCACGAACTTCTGTGAAATACACAACACTTTTTACATATCCCACAAAAAGAAATCTAAAGAGGTGAGGTCCGAGGACCGGGAAGCCATCTAACTAGGCTGCCGCGGCCTATCCAGCGTTCGGGAAAATTAATGTTTAGAAAGATATGGAGCACCGTCTAAGCGTCTAGGCAATTCAAAAGGTCCTATTAAAGTGTCATTAACGACACCGGCCTACATGTTCACTGAAAACTGTTGCACCGCAACGTATTTCGTGTGGATTTTCGATAGTCCAGTGGTGAGTGTTGTAGACGTTACGTACACCATTTCGATTGAAACATGCCTCATCTGTAACAAGTTGAAGGTTGCTTTCGCTGTACAGCAAATATAAAACGCTCTCTCAACGATAAAAATAAAGTATTTTATTGAAAACTAAGTTGTATAGAAAAAGACGTGTTGACGGGGCGAATGTTCGCTGGAGAGTCTCTCCTCTTGTGGAGTCACTGGCAGAAGTACCTGGTCCTTGGCGCCATTCTGCCGGGGTCCTCTTCCAGGAACCCTAGTGCGTCCGAGCGGCGGCGTCCGGCTGGCGCTCTTGACGTACTTAAAAATGGGTCACTTGCGAACATGTGTACCCACAAAGTATTTGCACTGAAAATTGAGGATTTCTTGCATGTTCCTGAAACAACCATTCGCAAAACCTGGACGTAGTAGAAACCCTCAGGAGTAAACACTTAAATACGTTGCAGTTCCAAAACAGTTTTAAACACATTTTTAATTAGATGTTTTCTCTATTATCTTAACCTTCCGATACAAGTTTGTGAC